CTGTAAATAATGTTAAGGAATTGTCAAAACTTGCTTTATTCTTATATTTATGTAATAAACGCAGAAATGAGATATTTAAACTAAGCGATTAATACAATAAACTAATTTGTTCTCTCTCTCTCTCTCTCTCTCTATCATAAATATGTGTAAATATTTGTATATTGTATATTATTTGTATATGTATGTTTGTAAACATTATGTATATGTTCTATTCTGATGAGCCTTTAGGCTCAAGGAAAATAAAGAATTTGAATTTGTTTATATATTAAAGGATTACATGATTTAGCTAGTGAATGTTTATATATTACAGGGTTACATGAGTTAGCTAGCGATTATTTATATTTTACAGGATTACATGATTTAGCCAGTGAATGTTTATATATTACAGGATTATATGAGTTAGCTAGTGATTGTTTTGTTTATATTTTACAGGATTAAATGAGTTAGCTATTGAATGTTTATATATTACAGGATTAAATGAGTTAGCTAGTGATTGTTTATATTTATAGGATTACATGAGTTAGCTAGTGATTGTTTATATTTTACAGGATTACATGATTTAGCCAGTGAATGTTTATATATTATAGGATTATATGAGTTAGCTAGTGAATGTTTATATATTACAGAATTACATGAGTTAGCTAGTGAATGTTAGTATTTTACAGGATTATATGAGTTAGCTAGTGATTGTTTATATATTACAGGATCACACGAGTTAGCTAGTGAATGTTTATATTTTACAGGATTACATGATTTAGCCAGTGAATGTTTATATATTACAGGATTATATGAGTTAGCTAGTGATTGTTTATATTTTACAGGATTAAATGAGTTAGCTAGTCAATGTTCATATATTACAGGATTATATGAGTTAGCTAGTGAATGTTTATATATTACAGGATTATATGAGTTAGCTAGTGATTGTTTATATTTTACAGGATTACATGAGTAAGCTAGTGATTGTTTATAGTTTACAGGTCTACATGATTTAGCCATTGAATGTTTATATATTAAAGGATTACATGATATAGCTAGTGATTGTTTATATTTTACAGGATTACATGAGTTAGCTAGTAAATGTTTATATTTTACAGGTTTACATGATTTAGCCAGTGAATGTTTATAAATTAAAGGATTACATGATTTAGCCAGTGAATGTTTATATGTTACAGGATCACATGAGTTAGCTTTTAATGGTTTATATATTACAGGATCACATGAGTTAGCTAGTAATTGTTTATATCTTGCAGGATAACATGATTTAGCCAGTGAATGTTTATATATTAAAGGATTACATGATTTAGCTAGTGAATGTTTATATATTAAAGGATTACATGAGTTAGCTAGTGATTGTTTATATTTTACAGGATTGCATGAGTTAGCTAGTGATTGTTTATATTTTACAGGATTACATGATTTAGCCAGTGAATGTTTATATATTACAGGATTATATGAGTTAGCTAGTGATTGTTTATATGTTGCAGGATTATATGATTTAGCTATTGAATGTTTATATATTACAGGATTAAATGAGTTAGCTAGTGATTGTTTATATTTATAGGATTAAATGAGTTAGCTAGTGATTGTTTATATATTACAGGATTACATGATTTAGCCAGTGAATGTTTATATGTTATTGGTTGTGAACAGAATCTGAAATCAGATATGTTATTAGTAGCTTGTGCTAAAGGTTTTTACTTAGTAAGTTGTGAAATAGATAACATTCAG